TTGAGCAGCAGTTGCAAAATATGGTGCTTGGATGAGCTTTTGCATTATTGCAGTTATTCGAAGTGCAGATGTCACAGATTTTTAGAGAGGGTAATCAAGTGGCAGATTATTTAGCAAAGTTGGGTGCGGAAGGCTTATCACAGTATCTTTATTCCAGCACAAATTTGCCTATCACAGAATCTTTGTTCCAGCATAGATTCGATGGAGAGCTTTGACAACAACAGCTGAGGATTGGTGCAGGAGAGCATGGGATCCACGGAGAGCTGTGGGGAGTGCAGTCGGGAGATCAGATAGTATGGATCATCTAGTCTGGTAGACTGTAAATTATTAAATTCGTTTATAATAAACTAACTGGCGGAGCGCTCAAAGTTTTTTCCAGTTGGGTTTCTCCGTGATCATTCTAGTGTTGGGTATTACTTTCATTATAGTGATTGATTATATAATTGTGGTAATTTAACTTATGACAAATTGACTTGAATGATTAATCATCTAGAAAAGAATTAAAAAGTGACCTGTTGCTATTTAATTCATAGAAACATTTTAATTCCGCATTAAATACCTATATATCCCTCTCTAGGTATTCTTAAGGTCGAACTGCGTAACTTTCAATTGGTATCAGAGCCTTACATCGAATCATGACCCTTTTGTTTAGTCTAGATGAGTCAGTTACTGTCCATGCCTCCGTACTTCGACGGAAGTAACTATGCCTACTGGAAGGTTCGAATGAGAGCCTTTCTTAAATCTAAGGATGAACGTATTTGATTACCGTTCAAAATGGGTGGGCTCCACCTTCAATAACTGTTTCTGGTATAGTCACACCCACTGATATTTCATTGTGGTCGAAAACGAATTTGGATGAATGTAATTAGAAAAGTAAGGGCCTTCATACCCTGTTCATGGCTATATCTGCTGAAAAGTTTAAACGAGTGTCGATATGTGAAACTGTTAAAAAAGTTTGAGATATTTTAGAAACCACACACGAGGGAACTAAAACCATTAAGAACTCTAAACTGCGGATGTTGACGTCTAGATTTGAAGAACTCAGGATGAATGATGATGAGAGATTTGATGAGTTCTAT